CTAACATTTCATTAGTTTTTGCTTGTAAATTTGTTATGTAGTTCTTAGAAAAGAAAAATAAATCTAAACTTGTGCTTGAATTTGTTGTTATTGTGCATCATTAATAAGTCTTTGAGTTGTGTTTTCACCATCAACTAAATCTTTTTTTTTAGCAAATCAATCTGTGCTCGTCCTATTTGCATCATTTCATTTAGACGATTTGAAACTCTATCTAAAACAGCTGTTTGAATAGAATCTCAATAAATATTTTGAGAAATTTGTGTCTATGAATATCCATATGGATTTGAATATGATGGGTTTCCATCAGTAGTCATTCCTGTAGACACTGGCATTGGCATTGATGATGAACTTATTGGATATGATTTTAGATTTGTTGGATAGAGTATTGGACGACTGACTGTACTTGTATGTCGAATATAGAGGAAATGATAAATTAAATGTTTTCAGACATTGCTTTTAATAAATTAACTAAATTACTCTTTGACTAAAATAAAATAAAATTCAAAATAAATTAAAGAAATAAATATTTTAGATGACACCAATTTTTAAGATAAGATATAATAATAGTTCCATCAGGTTGAACATCTTGACTTGTTGTTGAAAGATACATAACTGATATTGGTTTAACATAAGCTAATGATGAAACATGTGGATGATCCTGTTGAAACCATATTTCAATTGAAATATTATACCGATTTCCTTTATCTGGACATATTACAGTTCTATGTAAACAAAATCTATTGATATTTCGTCATTATAAGAAAATGAAACAATTTTCAACATTAAAATACTTAATGATGAATTAAGTCCTTGATTTATATTTCAACAAACCAAATCAATCCCGATATGTAGGCTTTGAAATTGAAATATTTTGTTTTTTTTTTAAATATTCGATATATTTCTCTTACTCGTGCTCATAGAATAAATTGATCTATTTCAGCTTGAGATGGTTTTGCCATATTAATTGTAGGAGATAAGGAATTTGAATCTAGTTGTAAATTATTCGAAATTTTTGTATGTCTAATAGACATAGTTAGAAAAAAAAGTGAGGAATAATCATCTGAAATGAAGTTGCGATATAGTTTAATAAGAACGAATTCGATTAAAATAAAGAACTGACAATTAACGATAAAAGTAAAAAACGAAGATAATGTTCATCGTCTATGAACTGGATTATTTGTTATTGTTGTTGTTGTTGATATTAGTAAAAAAATGTATTTAGTTTTGGCAATTCAAGAACTCTAATTATCCTTTAGTCTCTACACAATTGTGATTTTGTAGCTTTCTTATCAATGATTCCCCACTAAACTTCGTCATCTTTTCAAAAATTTTCTACTTCACTCTCGAATATTTCGTATATCAAAATTCTCGCTGAAAAGTTTCTTTCTTCATATCGAAAGTCAATGATTTTTAGCCTTTTTTTTAATGTATACAGTAGATTTTAGATTTCCAAATAAAATTTTTCTAGAATAAGAGAGCATGACTTTTCAACAATATTGATCTCCTTAATCCTTTGACTCCCGGCGCCGTATAAATACGTCTTAATTCAGTTATTGAACGCGAGTATCACTAGCATATTCTTTAATTATTTGGAAATGCTTTTTATCGTTTTCACAAAAGCTGCTTCAAAAAGAAGGCGTGTGATTGAGCAACAAAAACAATTTCAACGACAATGTGTGGTTTACACATTCCGCCCTAAGTCAGCCAACCCAGTGAGCAAGATTTCGATCCTGATTTTGTCTGAAGTCGACAAGAATCGATAGAATCCTGTCAGAATTTGTTGATACCCAGTCGTACCCGACTATCAGAATCCTGGTGACTAGATTTCCAGTTAATTCCGATATAATTCTGTCAGTATTAAGACTATCGGACACAATCCGATAGATTAACTTCGACCTGAGATAATGTTCGACGCGATATACGATATATGCTTGGACTGCAATACACCTCTATGTATTGTTAATTGCTTTACAAAGACTATCATACAAAAAATGATCTACTGATGTTTTCTTGATACAGAATTGTAAAAAAACAATCATATTGAAATATTTAGAAAAATTTTCGTTTTTGCAAAAAAAGCGAAGAGTCAATGGGTTAAAATACAGAACATCTGATGAAAAGTCTTTCGATATTGAAAAACGATAAGATACATTTTTTTTCTCTATAGATGTTATATTCTAATTAAGATTACTAATGATAAACAGTAAAGAAAATTTTTTTGTTGTTGAATATTTACCGTCCAAAATTCAGTTTCATTATCAGTTATCCAAGCTAAAATTTCGTTTGTCATATTTGTATCATCAATTGACCTTAAATTACATCAATGTCGACAAACAAAGTAAAATATATGCTTCGTACGCGTCAATTCACATATCTATACTATTTCAAAATATGTGAATGTTACCTTTTTTTTTCTTCCTGTCTATTTCTCTATGTTAGGACCAAATCATTTACGTACTTTTTTCGAACTGATATATCAACAAGCAAAGAACATTCTTATCTTTTAATTACATCTAACTATATATGATGATCATATATTATACTAACAAATCCATTTTTTTCTTTCTTTCTCAACAAGAAAATACGCATGCAAAAATACAATTGATCTTTTTTATTTAACAAAAAGAAAACACACTTTATTTAAGAGGTAAACCAGCAATTTGTCGACATTTGCGCATTGTAGCTCGTAAAATAAATTGTTTTCGAGAAAGTTCTCTAACATGCTAAAAGAAAAAAAAACTAATAAAAATCTAGTTAAAGAACAAAAAAGAAAACAAACTTTTAAATAAGTATCTAATCCAATAGATTTTCTTCGAAGTCCATCAGCAAGATAATATAATAAATCTTGAATAGCATGTTCTTCAGCATAACCTTGCAAAAGTCTTTTAAAAAAGAAAAGAACAAATAAATAAAATAAGAAAATAAAAATGGTTAACTGTTTATAAACAGGTGCAGGAGCTATAAGAGCATCTTCTTTAATAGAATTTCCTTTTTCTGATGATTGAGACGTTTTTTGTGTAGCTTCTAACATTTCATTAGTTTTTGCTTGTAAATTT